GCCAGTCCTCTTGACAGTCTAGTTAATTCTTGATCTTGTCACAGTCTAATCTAAACGAACCAGTCTGATGCAGTGACTCTGGCCCTTACAGAGCTGACTAGAGAGAAAGGTGAACAAGACTCATTGATAGGACTATGTAAATATGTGCCCATTCCCCATCAGAACAGATTCTTCCTGAATCTTACCAGAGCTTCCAAGCACATTGCTGTACTTGATGTGTGTTGGGATATATGTGGCCCTGGAATCTCTATTGAATCAATGGTTTCCATAAAATGAAGCCCAGAAATTAAGTCTGGTGGTTATTCTTGCTAAGGAATAATCTGATCCTTTATTCCCTTTTGATATCCTCAAAGACAAATCTGGAACCAATTCCTTGGGTTTGTCAATTCTAAGCTACCTGCTCTCTTACTGCCTGCACTTCTTTTACTGCACAGTGTCTGCCCCCATAAAGTGAGTTGGCTAATGACAATGCCAAGTTTGGGTAGGGCATTAGAAAAGTAAAATAACATAAAGTATTAACTTCAAGGTTTTGAAAGTTGTTAGAATTCCATATACTAGGCAATTATTAAAAGGTCTTATTACTTCCAGCTCCTAAACCAGATTATTTTCATACATGTCATTTTATACATATACTTGTACAAATACCAACTTGTGTGCAAATATAATCTAAACTAAAGACAATAAAATGATTCACTTTAGTTGGGCATAGTGGCACATACCTAGATGAAGCTGGAAGACAGATTAAGCCCAACAGTATAAGTCCTGCCTTTGTAACATAGTAAGATCCTGTCTCAAAAGCAAAACAAAAATAAAAACCATAATTCCTTAACTACATTTAGTGCCAGGACTATGTATTGATGAAAGTTGACCTCACTGTGTATTAAGAACAATAAGGAATAAATGGTTTATGTATCTAGCCATGGTTACCCCAGTTAGTCAACAGTGTAAAGGGTATGAAGCAAACTCTTCCAATGCTTCCCCATTTAGGCTTATAACGAATACCAGAGGAAGCTTTGCTGTGCTCAATAGCAAGTAAAATTCACTCAGGGTTTCCAGGGATTACAAGAAAAAAATCAAACCCCACTGTATTACTGTTATGACAGACTATCATGATCAAGACAACTTGTAAAAGGGAGCATTTTTTTGGTTTACATTGGTGGGGGAAATCTGTCATGATGGAGAGGCATGGCAACAATAGGCAGGCATGGCAGCCAAAGCTGGAAGCAGAAGTAAGAGAGGCTATGAGTTCTCAAAGCCAGTGACATGCTTCTCCAGCATGACTTCACCTTCTATAACCTTCCCACACAGTACCACCAAATGGGGACCAAGTGTTCAACTATCTAAGCCCAAGGAGGACATTTTCTCCTTTAAACCACCACACTAATGTTATATATTTCCTCCATTCTCATAACTGCTTCCTTTACAAAGAAATTGCACATTACATGGCATGTTGCAGGGTTCTCTCTCTCTCTCTCTCTCTCTCTCTCTCTCTCTCTCTCTCTCTCTCTCTCTCTCTCTCCTCCTCCCTTT